CAAATGCAGGCACGCTGACAGAAACAGAACTTGGTAGGGAAATGTTCCATGGAAGATCTCTGTTTGTTTTCTTCACTTTTATAGTTTAAAGTAAATCTTAGTATCATTTTACAACACTTCAGATTGTTATGACTTAGTGAAAGGTAAAAGAGAGGTTTCAGTTAGAAATAGCAAGAGACTAACTTTTTAAGTATTCTTTAATGTGACACAATGTCGAAATTCTTACAGATGGGCCAAATAGACAACTTTTGATACACTAAATATGTTAAATTTTGTTCATATTTACATTAATAAATACATTTATTAATTTTCATCAATTTTGAATCATAAGGAGATTCCTTAAGTCAAAGCAGTAATTCTCAAAGCATAACTCTTAAATTCAGTATAGCTGTTTATAGCTATTTAAATTTAAAATGTATAAGAGAGCCGGGGAAAAAAAAAGAACATGCTATTACTTTCTGAGAAGTTCCTCCTCTCTATAACTCTCACTTTTAATAAAAGTTTTAAAATGTCAAACTTTAGGTCTGATTTAAACAGTGCTTTCTTTCCTTGCACTTGAAAAACAGTCCCATATTTTAAGTTATTTTAAACCTTCCAGTAAGTGGAATCAAACCACAGAATATCAAATGAATGATTGCAGCACAATTAGTTATATTTAACAATCTCATCATATCTTCAAAATTAAGTGATATTTCCGTTGCAATAATGTAACTATAATAAAATATTTTACACCTGTTTTGTACATAACAGGTTAATAATGAACATTAAAGGAAGTCTGGCTTATAATTTTTATACTTATTAATACGAATAGCCTCATCTATGGCAATTACTAATCCTGCTTCTGAAATTAATGAAAGGGCAAACCAAACGCATTTGCAAAAAGAAAAAAGTTTCTCGTGGGAAGACGTTTCTAACAGGCGCGGAGCCCTTGGTTCCACGCCTCTCCGGGCGGCAGGAGCTGCGCTTCTCCGCGGCGGCCGGCAGGAGGTGCTGTGTCGACGCCGCCGCCCACGCTGCGCCCGCCGCCAGCCCCTTTCCCTCTGCACTCGGACTAGCGCGTGGTGCTTTGAAACACTCAGTTTTCAGCAGCCCGTGGCCTGGGATGAGGAGGCAGTTCTAAACTGGGGCCCCCCCGGCTCACAGTGTAAACCGAGTCCTTATTTAACTTGGTAGAAACGAGGGTTTTACTCTGAAAACCAAGTGCAAAGAGGAAACTCCATTTTTATTTTACAAGGGGACTCAATTATTCTGCTTTACAACGTGAATCCTCTCCTGTTTTAAGGTAAAAGTCCATGTAAATAGTTACAAAAATACAAAATTCTTCACACACGTGCACACACGCGCGCGCGAATTATGGAACAGGTGCATGGAGATTAAAAGACATAATCCGGTTCAACCTGGCTCAAACACATGAATTCTGCTTCTATATTTTACCCCTGAAACACACAAGTGAATAGGCATAAAAGAAGTGAGCTCCTCTCGATGTGAAATTAATTCACAATTTCATGTCTCAGAACGTGATTGGCTTTATTTTAGTCCAACTTCTGCAAGGCCGATCTGATTTCAGACGGGAGGGAAACAAGGAGGAGGCTGCGGTGCCTGGGAGGGAAGCTGCTCATCCTCTGGCTTCAGGCGCCTGTGCACGGAATCCCCACAGAAGGGGCCGCCTGTGCGCTGCAGGCGGCGGCGGGCAGCAGCAGCAGCAGCGCCTGGGCTCCCGACGGGCACTGGTGCACAAATCCCTCTGCGACGCGGCCAGTCACTGCCGCGTGGCAACCCGCGCCCGACCGCAATGCACAGCAAAGCAGTTCGCAAGCAGTGACTCACCTGAGCGTGCCACTCGTGTCCCTGGTGCCGGGCCAAGGGCACTCCTGGTGCGAACAGCTGAGCTCGGGGGCCCGAGACCTTCTCCCTCAGACACCGGG